TACAGTTACTTGAAAACCTGTTTTACGATCGCCACGATAAGCAAAATTGTAAATCGATTTATTTAAGCAGTTTATTTTCCCTAAATTTAGCTGAATGTCACTAGGCCTCGAGATTCTCAGTAGATCCTGAATGAGAGCATATGATTATGAAGGGCTTATGGTTATTTTTCCCGTAATTATATGGGTAGACCTCACGATGTCATTGAATTTCACTTAGTTTGCCTCTCAAAAGGTATTCCAATCCAGGATTTACTGCAGTTTTGACTTCGCTTGGGTCTCCTCAATGCCCCAAATGGGAATCTAAATCGGCTAGTGCAATGTATATTTCCGATAGAAGTTGGTTAACCTCGTTGTCGCAACATGGTCTTGTTGTCAGGGCGACTTAATAGAACGCACCTAGTCCAAAGTCCTCTGCCATAGTAGTTATCATGATTCCCAGCATCAGACTGTGGACTTGGTACATTCTCAAACGTTTCGCCGGCATTTTCGGTGAGTTTTGCCGTTCTCCGCATCAAGCTACGAACTCATCAAAGAAACAAGTCAAGTCAATCCCTCGACAAAAGTTCTGCCGAAAACGGTTACACTATCATTCATCTTTCTGTCCTGGTTTATATATTTACTCTTTATGCTCTTATCCCACTGCCGCCCTATCACAAATTCTGACTTGTTTACATTCCACTCATTAAAATGCGTACCCATTTGTGGCAAATCTAATGTGGCCTCATTCCACTTGCTATTTACCCCGACTCCCTCTTTAAATCGGCTGATACGACTCGGGCCTCCAATTCGGATCCCCTCATTGTCTCGTAGATCCGTTCCTTATCTTTCTGGTTGACCTATTTCACTCGGTTCCAGTCCCAGTGTGCATCTCACTACAGACGCTATTTCTAGAAGCATGTACACTGCCGCTTCACTGAGCAGAGCGCCTAAGCTCTGATTGCCATGCTTGTAGATATCAGGCCTTCCCTTCACGGGTCCTCTCCTTTATTAAACCGATGTTATCTGAGCAAATTGTGGACGCCTATCTCTGGTCTCATGCGGCATCTCAAATGGATTTCTAGTACATTTTGGCCATAACGCCGAATTTCCGTGACGGTTTGCTTATCCGTCTGTCCAGCTCCCTGATTGCCAGGCCCCCAAAGTTCGAAACGGACATCACTCACTGACGACGTCTTCGCTTGATTGCCGAAAATCCCTGCCCCCTACTTAGGCAGTAGGCAAATTTAACGCTAACTACATTCCTCCAATCTCCTGTTGATTAATTTTTCTCCCCAAGGATGTCACTGGCCTCTCTTATCTTATGCTTCCTTATGTTGTCACCGTATAGGGCTCTTCTTTCTGTTGCTTCCCAATTGATCTCGTGTTCAGTCCCTGCGTTGTGTTTCGCTAGTTCTGATCTTTTGGTATCCATTTTCCTGCAGAGCCTTTGATGTTCCTTGATTCATGTGTTTTCTCTGTTTCGCCAATATATTTATGTCCGCAGGCGCCGCATGATATACAGTAAACTCCTGAACAATCTTATTTGTCTACCCTTTCATGTAGCGTCGATAGATTTGTGAAAAATGTTGATATTTCTTTCATGGTTACCTGAATATTTCATTTACTCAATATTGGCCGTAGTTTCTGAGTTCGTTCGCAGGAAGGTAGGCATATCCACTTCATCGTCTTTTCATGGCCCATTTGTTTCTTTTTATCACTTATATTGGGTAACCATTACCGAGGGATATCCTAGTCAATTTGTCCAGCTCCTCGTCCTAGAACTCAACATCCGTTAGGCTTCGGATGATCATGCTCCTCATTATTCCTATCTTTAGGCTGTAATTGTGATAGGAACGGAAATTAAGTTTTATCACAGCATAGAACTTCTTTCTGAACTAATATATCTGAAATCCACTTGAGATGTCGCGCCCACAGTTTGCTCAGATAACATGGGTTTAATCAAGGAGAGGACCCGTGAAGGGAAGGCCTGATATCTGCAAGCATGGCAATCAGAGCTTAGACGCTCTGCTCTGTGAAGCTGCAGTGTACATGCTTCTAGGACCTTGAGAAATAACGCCTGTAGTGACATGCACACTGACTAGAACCGAGTGAAATCGGTCAACCATAAAGAGAAGAAACGGATATACTAGACAATGAGGGGATCCGAATTGGAGGTTCGAGTCGTATCAGCCGATCAAGAGAGAGGGCGTCGGGGTAAATGGTGATTATGATGAGGTCAAATTATATTTGCCACAAAAGGGCACGCATTTTAACTATTGGAATGTAAACAAGTCAGAATGTGTGATAGGGCGACAGTGGGATAAGAGGTTAAAGAGTAGATAGATAGGCCAGGACAGAAAGAGTAGTGATAGTGTAACCATTTTCGGCAGAATGTTTGTCGAGGTATTTACTTTACTTGTCTCTGACGAGTTGGCAGCTTGGTGCAGAGAATGGCAAAACTCACTGATGATGCCGGTGAAACGTTTGAGAATGTACCAAGGCCACTGTCAGATGCTGGGAATCATGACAACTACTATGGCAGATGACTTCGAACTAGGTGCGTTCTACTAAGTCCCTCTGACAACAAGACCAAGTTGTGATAACGAATCAACCGACTTCTATAAATCGAAAGGAGACTGAGACCATGCCAGAGGCCCCAACATCTTGCTCTTCATATCGTCTATATTTCCGATATTTTTACTAAGCCATGTTGCCAAGACCTCCAATGAATCCCAGAGCAAACGCGACTTTCAAGGCACGCCGCCTCTTGTACAAGATAGATCAAGGGTTGGAGGGATCCCTTATTAAATTCATTTTTTTGTACTCTTCATTTTTAATGAAATGACGGGTGAAAGGGACTTGTCAATCGGCTTCAATGCAAGGCGGAAGATTATTTGGAAGTACGGATTTGCGTAAATAAGTCCTTACATTTTGCTGTTACAATCCATTATGCTACTTATATTTATAAGTAGTGGGTTTATAGACTGTAAGTGATGCTTGCTTTCAAATTCCCGTTTACTCTGTTATCCATTGGCGTCCATGGCTGTACAACATCGTTGTAAGATATATGCTCCTCTATCCGAGTTCTATTTCCGTTGGCTGTGCTAATTAGACCCAGGAGGGGTAGAATCTGGAGTCCAGACTTTACGAGAATACTTTTTGGAAAGCATGGCTAAGCGAACTTCTATGGCTTGTGAGGCCTACTCAAGTCAGTGTAGCAAAATTCACCATCATATCGTGTGGCCTGAGAGGACCATAATTCTTGCTAAATCAATGCACCTGTTCACACTAGATGGTAAAATTTTCTGCCTGACCAATTTATTATCCTTGCGTGCTAGGTAGGATTATATTTTAAGGGCATCATTCGACTTATATGTGCTTCTACCTATGCCAAGCTCTTCGATGTTGTAGCAGCCTTGTGTTAAATGCGATGAATGGCTGTTATCTACAATTTGTAGTTTGTCATTTTCTGGTGGCTTATTATTTGTTCTGGTCTTTTAGGGTTAGACGTTGATTTTTCGACCCCTCCTAAATATGCTTCACATTTTATTTAGACAGCCCCATTTTATTCCGTAATTTGTTACTCCTAATTGTTGAGGTATTAATCTTATCAATACCTTATTTTTATACTCGTCAGCCTTTTAGAACTTAAAAGTTTAGTCAAGAGGTTAGTACCTCTTCCCAAATCACTATGCTTCCTACAACACTATAGTCACTTTTCACAGGACGAAGATTCGGTATTTAGCCTTCATATATAAGTTTATCTAATCTACAAATTGAATTTTTCCCTCTTTTTCTGAAAGCTATTGCCCTGAAATTTGCATAGTATTCAATTTTGGTTACCCAGGTCAACAACTAAAATGGACAACATTAAAATACTAACGGCTCAGGCCTTTGCTGTACTACGCCAGAATTTTAATTTAAGATTCTTATGGTAGGATAGAGTTGCATGCCACTACCTCAGGTTTGGTCATGAATTCTAATGTCCACTCAACGGTCCGAAGTCCATTCACGCATATTCCTGCCATTCAGATTCACTCCATTCACACTGATAGATGATTATACGGAAAGGATGTTTTTTCCTGTCCTTTAAGAATTATACGCATGATAAATACGTGCACAGATTCTCACAAAGAGGCTGAGGTGCTTGGAGATCAGCCCTGTCAGAATTTGGCGAAGTTCACATCTCGTAAGGAAGGCTTACTCACTTGAATTTTTCTTTCAAATTCCTGAATCCCTGTCATATACCATAATTAGGCCAGTGCTGTGGGTGGGATGCTCATTTTTTCGGTACAGATGCACAGCCTAGCTTTTGCATCGCTTTGTTTCAGTAAAAATTGGTTGGGCATTTGATGGATAGTCTTTTCCGCTCCCTCCCATTCCATATCTTTTAAGCAAGACGGACCGCCCCGGCTCGGCCTGACGACCTACATATCAACCTTTTCTACTCAACATAAAAAGCATTAAATACATCGCCGTTTAATGTTTCTTGATATTTTTGGGCGCCTTTCTTAATGACTTGACCATTTTTCTGACATGTTAAAGATAATCATGTGGCGGTATATCCCTTTCATACTCTTAGTGCAGTCTAATTTGTTGGTTCTCTAGTCAGGTATTCTCCATTAATACCTTTCTATACACGTGTTTGCCGGATTTGCCTCAGGCAAGCTGATAACTGGAGAGTAAGAACTAATCTGCTTCACTGTCCTTTTTCGATTCTGTTTCGCTGCTTAATGCAGCAGTCCCACTTCTGCAGTCCCCTGTTAAGAGAGTTCATTGGCCGAAATTTAGGCCTATTGCCGGAAGAAGCCTAGAGCTAATCCAGACTGAACATCGTTTTTACTCTGATTTTGTGCTTTGGAGATCATTTCGCAATGAACAACTAGGTTGACTACACCATCTAGCCTTTCATGCTTGGCGTTCGCTTGTATATTTGCATGAAAAAATTGGGGTCCGTACGGCACTTTTGGTCAGTATTTCCTGTAATCTGGTTAATTTGGAAGATAAGACTGGAACATCGGATGAAAGCAGTAAATTCTTCAAGAGCTTTTAAATAGTAGTACACTTTTTTATTATCTTGGCTTATAGGTTTCGTCATTTTACACCGCTCTGAAACTATTTGGACATGACTATATGTTTGGGCCACATTGTAGAGCTCCGTTTTAATCCAACTATTCTTGAGTATATTATGTGGTTGAACTTTGTATTCACTCATCCGCATTGCATATTTCCCATAAAACGTTTTCATTAGTCACTTTGATTATGTTCTTTCGATGGCCAGCCAATTTCATATAAGGGCCAAAATCTGGTTTTCATGTTTCTCTTTGAAAGGTCTGCGGTTGTAGTTGGATTTAATTCTCTTTACTGCGTCTTCACATCTGAACCATTAAGTTATTTTCCATCTACATAAATTTCATTCAATATCGCTCTCCCCTCGTAATTGGTTGCTTCCTTTTTCTTATCTATCATTTTTCTTCCTGGATGTGATTGTGCTTACATAGATTTATAAGGCCCTTGCTGTCTCACACAGAATGACATGATACATTTACGATTACACGTATTTCATCATATTAGAGAACAGATAGCTACAACTTCTTCACAGTCAAATCATAAACTTCACCTCACTCTTCCAACTTCGGCCTTCTTTACATCTTCCATCCTTTAGATGCTGACTAGGTCATATAACCTAATACCTTTTTCGCAGATGTTCGGCCAAGTTCTCTTTCTTATAGCAATCTCATTCACCACTAAAACCACAAGATCCAAATAATCATCACCCTCGTCATTTTGTTCCGTCCTTGTCTTTTTTCACTTGAGCAGTCTGAGGAGGCAAAAAATCGCTCCCTCGACTCTGGTAAGTTGCTGACTGGTAGCCTGGTTGAGATCCAGCCTCCCGGCAGCCTTTTTAAACAGGGCGCTGAGGCACGCATCTATTTGGCCAATTTGTTTCCTGCAAGCACCTCCCGCGGGGATGGACAAGCCTCGAGCAACAGACCACCTTATGGGCCACGTCTCTGCATCGTGAAGGAGCGCTTCGTCAAGACCTACCGTCACCCTCAGCTCGACGCTGAACTGACGCGAGGTAGACTACGCACCGAGGCTCGCCTCTTGCTTGCCGCCCGACAAATTGGGCTCGACGTCCCCCCAGTACTCCATGTCGACCTACACAGGCGACAACTCTGGCTTGGTCACGTCGGTGAAGGTTCACTAACTGTTGCTGAACTGCTGCTCGGTCAGCTGAATCGTCTGATTCGGAAAACCCATCCGGTCGTCATAGCAGCAGTCGGATCAGCCGTCGAGATGACCGGCCAGGCTAGCAGTACAGGCAAGACGACTGGTCAGGGAGAGACAGAGGACGTGTCTACTAGTCTGGCTCGGGAACCCAACTCGGAGACACTTAACATGGCCGCAAATGAGCCCGACTCCTCGTGGACAGAGGCAGTCAGCAGAGTTGATCGGCTTATGTGCAGTCTGGCCACTGCTATCGGCCGCATGCTGGCCAGGTTGCATGCGAATAACTTGGTCCACGGGGATCTTACTCTGGCTAACATACTCGTTAGAAAGGTAAACATATCTTCACAATTTAAAGTTTGATGAATTTGAGTGGAATAAGAAATCTAAATCATTCTGAGTATACCAGCCACTTGCCGATTAGCTTTTAAATGCTACCTCAGAGCGCTTGGTGGGAAAGAGATAAAAATGTGTATTAACCTAAGTTCCATGAGGTTTTGGTGATCTGAGTTTTACCACCCGACTTGGTCTAAGGAAATGAGGGACTGCTAGTTGAATTTTCCCACAATGATATGAGTAGGCCTTACGTTTTCATTTAATTCCATACAGCCTTGCTTCCCATAAGGTAGTATCATCCAGACTGGACTGAAGTTTCGACTTCGTCTGAGTCTCATCATGACCCTCAGTTGAACCCGAACCCTGATAGTGCAGGGTATGTCCCTGAAAATTAATCACTACGCCGCACTGCCATGAATTCCTGTGTGTCATTGGACAGACGTGAATTTCAAGGAAGGTTGGGCCTTTGATCTATCACACTTTTGTAGTGGGATCGTCAAGGTTGCAAAGTTCGAGGTGGTGAAGAACTGGTAGTTAAATCTTCCTCCAATAATATTAGTGATGCCATACCAAGTATCAGGGCGTTAAATGGGTGGATGCATATAGAGTACGTGAGCAGACGCAGATAACGTCTAGTTTCAGTTTCAGTATTTGACCTAATTAGATAAGAAGCTGGGCTTGTCGATGTGTAACCCAAGGTCACTCGTAGAAATGTAGCGTACTGGTAAACGTGTCGAGATTACACGCTGCATTGTTATGGTTTGACTCACGCTTGGGGTTTTGACCAGACCCTGTGCGGGGTCAAAACTTCAGTTCACCATGGATGAGGACACCTCTTGGAACAGTAAGGCCATGTGAAATTCAATGGAAAATATCAGCTCTACTCGTATCATTGTTGGAAAATTCAACTACCAGTCGTTCATCACTTTACATGAAATAGAACGAACACAACTCACATATATTAAGCATGGGTTGGGGCACCCAGACCGTAAATGTGGAAGTTTTAGTAGTAGTTCACCTGTTGTCGAGATAATTTATTTTACTACTTTCTGTATGTTCTCCGATTGCCAAAAACCTACTAAATCTCAGAAGGTGGAATATAATTATCCAAGGTATCTAAAAAAACAATTATTTTCGATGTAAGTAATAATAATTATTATTATGGTTCACTGTGTAAGCTGTAATGAAGCTAGCTTGTTGAAAGCTTGAGTCAGCTTACAGATTTTGCCACTGGATCCCTGAGGATATTAGCCGACTACGCGAAATTCTGACCAAAGTTTGACTTGTTCGCTTTAGTGAGGACAGCTGAACTTTGGGGCGGTGATCAGAATATTAAAGCTGCTAATGTACGGTATAATTGAGGTGTGATTTTAGATCTGAAACGAGTGATATTCATAAGGAAAATCATGGTTTAAAAGTTCTAGTGTTTAGGCTTGTACTGACCTTTTGATCCTCAGGTTTGTAACTGTTGTAAGATATTGCATTAAAAATGAAATAAGGGGTTTGAAGTTATTAGTGGCAAGTCTAGTCTTGGAAACGAAGCCTTAAGGTATAAAACACAATTCGCTCTTTCACCAAGTTATCTCTAGCGGGTTCGGCCTAAATTCTATTTTCTCGTGGAAGGATGTGAGGTGAACATATTTTTAGATCTCTGTTATCACAAAACAACCTCGAATTCCTCATGGTTCACTCTGGTTTGGTCTTACCAGGACGTTTGAGCTAACACAGTTCTCCTTTGTTTCCAGGGTAGATGTGCTGAATAGGCTTCCGAAATTATCAATAAATCTTGAATAATAACTCTGGTCACCCTAGGTCGAATAAAGTGATGAACGACTGTCAGTTTTGCCAGGATGATAGGAATAGAACGTACGACACTATTCAAGTTCACCTAGCCTTCTCGCCTTCCAGAAGGTTTTTTTATCCTGTCTGCACTGCAGTTTTGATCTCGCCTGGGTCTTTCCAATACCCCCTTGAAAGTCACATTTGTCCTGTAACCCATTGGCACTCTTGGCATTGTGGCGTAGTAGTGACATGTAAAAAATAAACTCTACACTACCCGGGTTCGATTTCCGTTGGATGTTCTGATAAAACCCAGGCGAAGTCATCATTTTAATCCACCCTGGAGAGGCAAGACTAAGTGAACCTCAATGCAATCATGAGGCCCAATCATATTGTGGAAAAATTTACTATCGGTTTTTAATACCATAAATGACCTAGAGTGACTACTGTTTTTGTACTGAGCTTTTATCTGTCTCGACAAGCGTGCTCATAGCTGACCATCATTCCTATTTCACCATTAGATTGCCACTAATAAGCTTCAAGCCGAACTTGAGATGGGGCACAAGCTTATTTGGTTATTCCAATCGTAATAGGCATAAATGGGTTATGTAGAAATTTTTATCACCAGATTACTCATGTAAACGCTTAGATGATTGATCAATGAACTCTCAGATTTTGCGAAGGTATGAAGACCAAGATGGTGTGACCTTTTGTGTGGTCGGATCTTGCGTTTTCTCGTATTTTCATCATATGTAGCCAACCTTACGGTCGATTTCCATTCTATTTCGACTTCAACTTGGATTTTCTGAAAATCAGATCAGGAATCAGAATGCCAACCAAAAGTGGGTTTGCCTGCCCTCATCATAACTGAGCCATCAATTGCTACCGTTACAAAGGAAATGTAATATCAGGCGGATAACAAGGGATAAGAAAACACTTTTCACCAGTCTGCCGACGCAGCACGAGAAAACGGACAAACCTGATTGCTCGGGAGTTTATCGCATCAAATGCGGCAACTGTGAGCAGAAGTATATTGGTGAAACAGGAAGAAAAATTGGTCTAAGAATCAAGCAACATCGAATACTCTGCAGGAACATGGATACGAAAAGATCCAAAATAGTGGAAAACATTGCACGAACGGGGCACGAAATCGACTGGAAATCGACCGAAAGGTTGGCTGCATGTGGTGAAAATACGAGAAAACGCAAGATACGAAAGGCCATCAAAATACTGACCGAGAGATATCTAATTAACAAGAGACTTGAAGAAGGTAGGATAAAGCGAAAACTTTGCATATTGCCTAAACAAACTCGGAGAAGACCATGCAACAGCAGGATTAGCAAAAGGAAGACGACTGCAACAAGATAACCTCCTTAATTTTAGGAAAAGAGATCGCAAGGGGACGAGAAAGGAACAATCGGAAGCAAAGAGGAGACGTCTTCTGTGAGCCTAATCAAAACAAGTAGAACCGCAACATTTGTGGGTTGCCACACAATAGACTAGGAGATAGGAAGTGATAGACATGGTATTATCGATAGAAACAAAAAAGACGCGGTGGAGACTAGAGCTATTTGTGTTTTATCAGAGACGTGATCCTTAAGTCACGACTATTGTTAGCCAACAAGCTCTAGTTTCCACTGCTTCTATCCTCTTTCTATCTATGATACGAAGTCTATGAGTTTTCATGCCCTAGTCTCTTGTGTGCAAACCCACAAACGTTGTGGTTCAACATTGAGCCTAATCAAAGCAAGCAGTACCACAACATTTGTAGGTTGGAATACAAGAGAATGGAGCATAGGAAGTCATAGACTTGGTATTAGGAATAGAGACAGGATAGAGACAGCGGGGACCGGAACTAGTTGGCTGACGGTAGGTATGTTGTACCAGAGACGTGGTACATGTAGCAAAGGGGTGACCATCACACTTACTCAGAGGCTTGAGCCTCAAATTAGTCACCCAGAGGCAGGTGAGGGCGAATAACGCCTCGGGTAGGATAGATGTGGTGGCAGGAGTCGAGTGAAATGGGTGAACAAGGGGTAGAACAGACGGATTTTACGGAGCAAGATAGAGACTGGGATAAGACTATGAAAGAGCACTGCATAATAATAAAGAAGACTGATCAACATTCCCTGCAGAAGGATGAAAGTGGAGGTAGAACCACGGTTGGAGTGTGAAGGTGTCATGTCGTTCAAAGGAGCACACCACACTATACC